TATTCTATTTCTCTAAAAAAAAACTACAAACCTTTGTCAAATGCCAAAATATGTAGTTACATTCACAATTACCAGTTAAAGCTGTATTGTGCCAAAAGGAAGCCCTATGTTAACGGTGTCCAGAAACATTTTTTTTTGCCTTTTCCCGTACTCTTTCAACTTTATCGCATTTAAGGTTGTAAATAAAAAAAATAAACACTTTCTCAAATATATGCATGTGTGTATTTATATACACATTAGACATACTTAAATTATGAAAAACAAACATGTATTTTTATGGGCAGCATAATTACTAATGTTTTTTTAGTTGTTGAAGAAAATGAAGCTCTGTGATTACAAAGCAGCGTCACTTTTTAAACAGAAACTTTCCTGAATATGAACTTCGTGAGTCTCATTTCCCAACTTTTAAACAATATAACTCTTCAAGCTCAACATCTTCAAATACAACCAGTCGGTTAATCACCACAGATATGCGACATATGGAGATTCTAACCCATCGGCGATGATGAATCTCAGCATACAAGCTCATCAGGAAGATGTTTACCACCAATAATGACTCTCTAATTAAAGCAGAGTCTCTGGCTAACAGAAATATGATTGATGATGGCTAGCTTCAAGCAATCTAATAGAGCAGGGAACAAAATATACAGCTGAAGTCACAATAGCCCCTTTCACACAGTGATACCGGTAAATATCCGGAAAATTTCTGGAACGGTAAATTCAATAAAGCGCTGTTCACACAGGCGAGGACGTTACGGAATTTTTCCGGAAAAGAGCATTCACACATACATTGCAAAATGCCGGTAAATTCTGACATCATTAACCAGAAATGAGCTCTAAACGGCTGCGCTTGTGTTTGTAAACATTTGACTACATTACAAACTCTTCGGATGATCAGTATTGAGTACAACTCCAATGAAAACATATGGAGGAACACTTTCGCATTTCGAGATGTTCATGATATGTGTGTGTGCTGGCGCTATGGGCGCTCACGGGCACACGCAAAGCTTGAACGTATCAAACAACGAATTATCATAAACATTTTATCGATAATTATTTTCACAGTTAGCATTAGGAAGGAACATATAAACGTGATCTGACTAACATCTAGCAGCTAAATGTGTCTGAAAAAATATTCAAAGGCTTTTATTCTCATAAACCGCGCCCACGTGAATGCGTTTGACTGTTCTGATTGGCTAAAGTAGACGTCTCACGTCAGCACGTTCTAGATGTGTACGCGCTCTTTCCGGCAATCTTCCTTCTGCGTTCACACAGCGCAGCATTCCGGCAAATTACCGGTAATATTACAACTTCACTTTCCGGAAAATAGCCAGAACGAATTTACCGGTATATTCAAAAAGGGCCTGTTCACACATACAACCTTTCCGGAAAATTGCCGGTAATTTTCCGGAAAGGTCTGTATGTGTGAAAGGGGCTATAGATTCACCCTCCTGTAAATTTTTCGAATATGTTCCAAACGATGTTTAACAGACGAGGAAAGTCTTATTTGTATTGTTTCAGCTAGAATAAATGCAGTTTTATTATTTTTTTATTGTTTAAAGCCATTTTAAGGTCAATATTACTAGCCACCTTAAGCAATATTAGTGTTGGATTGTCTCCAGAACAAACCACTGTTATACAATGACTCGCCTAATTACCTTAAGTTTACCCTAATTACCCTAGTGAAGCCTTTATATGTTACTTTAAGCTGGATAGAAGTGTCTTGAAGAATATCTAGTCTAATATTATTTACTGTCATCATGGCAAAGAGAAAATAAATCCGTTATTAGAGATGAGTTATACTGCTATGTGTTGAAAAAATATTCAGGAGGGCTAATAAGTCTATATTTTCAGAGACTTGTGTGCATTAGATTGGAAAACAAGAGCTGAGGATTGTGGGTAAAATTCACAGCTTTTAATGTGATGTTGTGTGCTAGTCTCACCTTCGGTCTTGAGGACACACTCGACGCTGCAGAACCCAGAAGAAAAACAGAAAGAGAGACAATTAGGACAATGAAACCGCAGTCCTGATCACAAAAACAACACATGCAGACTCTCCACTACTGTAAGTCTCCAAAAACCCCTGGGATTTTTTTGTTGTTGCGCTGTAATAAAGTCTGCAGGGAAGACAACCCTGTCCTTCATTAAAACTCCCAGAACATGGAAATGGCCGTCGTATCTCATCGCACAATGCAGGAAATCCAGGATCGATACTTCCGACAGAGTTTCTTTGCTAACAATGTAACTCTGGGTGGAGTTTGAAATCAAGTTCATTAACAATACAATCTTATCAGTGACCTTTCCAGTAATAAAAACACTCAACTGAAGTCTTTCTGGAGGCTCTAAAGGCTTGGTGATCAGTAATGACAAACATAATTCAGAATCGCCGCTCACAGGGTGTTTTTTACAGACAAGAGTGTGGTTTCTGCGGGCTGGCAATCTGAAGTGAGGTATTCTGGGAAGGCGGACAGTGCTGTTTATATGGAGGAAGAGGCAACTGGACTGGAATGTATTTAACAAAAATGTGAGAATGCTGTTGATTATAAAATATCTAGTGTTGAATTGATTATTAGAGGAAAAAAAAAAGAGTAAAGATTGCATTTTTTCAATCTTTCTCAACAATTAGAGTTCTATCTGGTTTAAATGGAGGAAGAGGTAAGCAGATTTTATTTTTGTCTAAAGCGACATTTATATATTGCGTTTTTTCATGATGAATAGTGTGAATGAATAACGGAAGAAAGTAGTGACTCATACAAAAGGTTTTTGAGACTCTCCGTGTTTGATTTCCTTGTTTATATACATGATTTTGCTGTCGAACTTTTGTATAAACGCAATATAACACTCAGCAATGTGATATGGCAGTATATCGGCACTGCTTGGGGCACTAACTTACTAAGCCTGCATCATTGAGCCAATATACAGCCATATCGCACTGCTACGAGTATATATATATATATATATATATATATATATATATATATATATATATATATATATATATATATATATGTGTGTATATAGTTTTAATATTTTATATAAAAGGTTTTATTAATTACGGCAACTTAAAGACGCCTCTCATATGGAGAATGAAGCCTCGTGCACTGCTCAGGTGTGAGTTTCTCACAGACTTCATCAGAGTGTCAAAATCTTGATGCTTCTGTGGGTCTCGTCAATCAAATCTGAGCTGGCAACCCTTCATTGACTTCTTACAATCAGTATCTGTATAAACACGTATTTTTTTCCATTTTTTTCATGTATATATATATAAACTCTTATTGTACTTCTTGCTACAAAATTGTATTCTACTTCCACATTGTTTGTCTTTTCTGCTTTGTTTTGTATGTATATTTACACAAAATTTTTTTTTGAAATTGTTGATTGAAATTGTATAATTTATATATGCTCAATAGAAAAAAAATCAAATCTGAGCTTTATTATGTATTTTCTATTGGATTGGCATCAGGTGATTGGCTAGGCCATTCTACAGCTTGATTGTCTTTCTCTGAAAGCACCAAGAGTCTCCTCGGCTGTGTTTTAGATCATTGTCCTGCTGAAATGTCCACCCTGGCTTCATCTTCATCCTCCTGCTGATGTAGATGTTGGACTGAAGCAGCTGATCTTCATTTACACTGAGGAAGGGCAGAGGCTTGCTAAAGAACTACTGACAGATTTCAGCTGCTGTCTGGGCTTTCACTGCCCAACTACACCTTCCATTCTTCATGTGTTCAACAGTTTTTCCCTGCGTCATTTCATTTTATTACACAGAACTTCATTTGTAAACTAATTAGATTTGTTTTCTTTGCATATATGGATTTATTTGGTTGCTAAAAACATCTGGTAAAAGTTTCAAATAAACAGCACCTTTATAAGTATGTTTTCTGAGAAAAACGGTGACGTGTTCAATACTTATTTCCCCCACTGTAAATCTGTTCAACTATGACAGAATCTCAGTTTTTATACTGATATCTTCAAGACTGAGAGACGTGCAGAATCACCAGCAATTTAGCGGTTAAACTAAATGAACTCAGATCTGTCTTTGGGTTCAGAAATGGATTCTCTGTGCAGAAAATTGAACAGGAATTCACTAGCGGACCCCGACTGAGATGCAGCCCAAACGACTTCACTACACACCAGGAAGCAGAAGAGGAAGGAAAGGGTTGAGAGACCCAGAAGACGGAGGAGTATTAGCTGACATGCTGAGAGATGGATGGAGAGCGTTAGACTTACGAGAGCATGCAGGAAAACTGTGGTTAATCTGATCCATAACCTCCGCCAGAGCAGAGTTACTGTTAGCACACTGATGGAGAAACTCGTCTGAGGACACACACACACAATTATACCATCAGGAGGTCAGTGTATCACCCCATGCTGTGTGTGTGTGTGCAGGTTTATGTGGTTTATGAGGACACGGTATTGTGTGATATCATGGGTGTAGGCTGTTGGGTTGTGTTCATCCACTCTGGGAGGGTTTTAAGTCTTAATTTGGCCACCGCTTTCTCTGTGTTTCAGAAAATGCAATGATTTTTGGTGGCAAATCTTACTTTGACACATGTGTTAGGAAAATGCTTTAAAATGTTCAGACTCAACTATACACTCTGGGCAGATGGACTACCCTTTCGTTATGTTAGGGGCAGTTTTTGCCCCATTGACTTCTATTATACATTTTTGATTGCAATGCCATATAATCATGTATTTTTTCATTGCTGGAGGTTTTCCCTGTTAGAAAGAGGTCAAATTTGTAATACTTACTGTTGTGCCGCAATTTGTATACCAGAAAAAAAATCTTTTTTTTATTTCCAATATCGTGCAGCTCTAACGTCTTGTGTCCTCATAATTCACATGCTTAAAAATACATAACAGGCTCTTTTGGCATTCGAAATATGCCACAGGTATTTTGTGAGGTTTAGGATTAGGAGTAGGAGTAGGGTAAGACCATAATAATAAGCTTTTTTACTGAAAAAAAAAACATTACGCCTATAGATAGTTCTCGTAACCCTCGTAAACTTACAGTTTTTATGAAGACATCTTTAAGACTGAAGCTATCAATGTACTTTTACTATATACAGTTTTTAAAATTGCAGCTTTTACTGTTTTAAATACATTACGCTTTTGGAGAGTCCTCGAAACCCTTGTAAACTCATAGTTTTTATGAGGACAACTTCAAGACTGTGAAGCTATCAATGTACTTTTACTGTATACAGTTTTTAAAATTGTAGCTTTTACTGTATAAAATACATTACGCTTATGGAGAGTCCTCGTAAACCTCGTAAACTCATAGTTTTTATAAAGACATCTTCAATATTGTAAAGCTATCACTGTACTTTTACTGCATACAGCTTTAAAAACTACCTTTTACTGTATAAAATACATTACGCCAATAGAAAGTCCTCGTAAACCTCATTTTTAAAATAAATGACGTCTATAGAAAGTTCTCCTGAACTAATAGTTTTTATAAAGACAACTTTAAGACTGTAAAGCTATCAATGTACATTAAAGTATACAGCTTTTAAAACTATCTTACTGTATAAAATACATTACGCCTATAGAGAGCGCTCGTAAACTCAGTTTTTATGAGGACATTTTCAAGACTGGGAAGCTATCACGGCACTTTTACTGTATACAGCTTTTAAAATTGTAGCTTTTACTGTATAAAATGCATAATGCCTATAGAGAGTCCTCGTAAACCTCGTAAACTCATAGTTTTTATAAAGACCTCTTTAAGACAGTGAAGCTATCACTGTATTTTTACTGTATTTAGCTTTTAAAATTGTAGCTTTTACTGTATATAATGTGTTATGCCTATAGAGTCCTCGTAAACCTCGTTTTTATAAGGACATCTTCAAGACTGTGAAGCTATCTCTGCACTTTTACTGTATACAGCTTTTAAAATTGTAGCTTTTACTGTATAAAATGCATAATGCCTATAAAGAGTCCTCATAAACCTCGTACACTCATAGTTTTTATAAAGACATCTTCAAGACAGTGAAGCTATCACTGTATTTTTAATGTATACAGCTTTTAAAATTGTAGCTTTTACTGTATAAAATGCATAATGCCTATAGAGAGTCCCCGTAAACCATGTAAGTTTTTATAAGGACATCTTCAAGACTGTGAAGCTATCTCTACACTTTTACTGTATACAGCTAAAAAACTAGCTTTTACTGTATAAAATACATTATGCCTATAGAGAGTCCTTGTTAACACACATGTTTTTGGTGTATGTGTGTTCATACCCGAGATTTCGGGCTGTCCTGCTGCATCCTGATGGAGAGAGCTGGATGATGATGTGCCGTTTAACTCGGGCTACAAAAAGAAAAGGCATGGTTTAAAATCATAAATAAAATATAAAATAGTGATAAACTCACAGTACTAATGGTGTAAAATACACATACCGGCTGTTTTAACTATGTGGAAGCTGGTATTAAATATGATGTGTGATGATTTAAATTTGTACACATATTTTTCTTTGTCAAATATTTCCCAAATGACGTTTATTAGACTCAGGAAGATTTCAAAAACTAGATTTTTTACCATAGCTGCCCTTTAATACGGCTCAGTTTTAAAAGATGTAAAATGGGATACAGTAACAAAGTCAGAACTGACCATCAAGCAGTGTAAATATAGACATGAAAGAGGTCATTACTGCATATACTCGTCCTCTAGGTGAAAGCCAGAAACAGCAGGCTGCGAAACGACAGTCTTGTTTGCCTTTTTGGGTTATGGAGTTATATTGGGTTTATTTAGCTAAGAGCCTTTGACAAGAGCATCTGGCTGAACGGAGGCTCTCGGTGCAGTGAATCAGGCCCTCAGGAGGCCCAATAAATTACCGTTCCCCTAAATCAGGGCTCATTGAACGCCAGCGCTTGATTCACGACACTATTGGCGGCTGCTGAACTCCCTGGCATCACCGTTAGACCATGAAGCTCGTTGAAGAATGAAACAAGAGCACTTTATATAGTGAGGAAGAGCTGGAGCTGAAGCCCGAGACAGGTAAATGTTAATCCTGGGATGCTTTGATGCATATTTAAAAACCAGCAACGTCTAAGTGAATAGTTCTCGGCCAGAATGAGATCCCAGACTCTTTGTATTAGATTCCAGCTTTGCTCCGATAAAGCATTATTTTGGGTTGCTGCAGAAAAAAAGCTTGATGTAATAGATACTTAAAGGTTTATTATGTGCTTGCATCATGACAAAGATGAAAGAAATCAATTAGAAATTAATCATTAAAACTATTATGCTTAGAAATGTGTTTAAATCTCCCTCCTAAAGAGAAATTGTGGGGAAAAAAATACAGGAATAATTATTAAGGGCTAATAATTCTGACCTCAGCTGTGTGCGTTTCCACTAGCTGGTGTGTGTTACCTGATGCAGCAGCTGGCGCAGTCGGTAAAGCTGAGACTCCAGCTGTTTGTTGTGGTCCTCCAGAATCTGCATGCGGGCCTCCAGTCGTCCCTTGTGCTGTCGCAGGAGTTTAGCTTCAGCTAGCAGATCAGCTTCATCTGGGGCTCCGCTAGCAGCTGCGGCGCCAGGCTGACCGTACTGAAACCGCAGTTCTTCATACTCCCTCTGCAGAACCCTGAGACACAATCACAGAGAGAGGTTAATTCAATTTCTATTTGCATCTATACATGATTCATACACAGCTCTACTATTAAAATAGAGTATGTGCATAGGGACTTTTCAGCCAGCCAGCTCAAGCTTTCCAGTAGCTGCCATGCCATTATAAAATCTCAGAGTTTATAAGTAGATTTCTTGAAAACTCAGTGATCTTCACTGCTTGATTGATATACAGTATGAAGTTGGTCTCAGAATGTACAAGAAGCACTGCATTAAATGATATTTATCTAAAGCATGTCTTTAAAATCTTGACATTTATTTACTCCAGTATTACAGAGTTTCTGAGCTAGCCTGCTGCTGCTGACGGCGCTTGTATTTACACGGTCTTTCATCTCCATTTACACTTGAACAACTAATGAATGCTTATGTCTGCTAAATGATTGTATTTCAAGTACACCACAACATCCATGCTGTACAAGAAACCATATGAAGTTGGAAATAGTCACATTAACCTTTCAGCGGAAGTTTAGCGCTGGCTGAAAAACACTAGCTGTGCATATAGCCCATTTCCATGACTTTCAATGAAATTTTCATGACCTAATATTTCATGTGATGTCTACGTATGGGGGGTAAACAATGCATGCTCAAATGTATTATTGCATTATCTGTTTATTCATTCGTTAATTTTCTTGTCGGCTTAGTCCCTTTATTAATCCGGGGTCGCCACAGCGGAATGAACCACCAACTTATCCAGCAAGTTTTTACGCAGCGGATATACAGCCAATTTACACTTTGTGGCACTTCTAGTTTCACTTTCAGGTGGAGGATGGCGTGATCGTCGTTTGCCTAGAGCAGGGGTTTTCAAACTATGGGTCTGCTCCGTTTGAGCTCTCGCAATCTGCGTTTAGCCGGTAGAGCTCGCGCAGATCGGTGCTCTCAGTAAGGGAACGTCGGAAAAGTGCTTCTTTTTTTTTTTTTTTTTTTTTTTGCTCCGTCCTGCGTGTTTTTTTTATTTTAAACACTACTAATTTTCTCTTAAATGAGCACGAAAAGTAACTAAAGTAGTCGAATGCTTCATTTTAGATCTGTGCATTCTTACATGAACACCTCTGTTATCAAACAAAACACAAAGAGCGATTCACTAGCTGCTCTTCACTGAATAACTATAGTAACTTTACTCAATATGCAAATATAATCAAAAGTGAAATAGATTTTATAGCTTTATTTAATTTCTGGATAGGCCATTGATTTTAATAGGCTAAACCTTTTATTGTATTGTCAATATTTTCTAATGTTTGCTATCTATTCTATCATTTGAAGCTATTTGTTGTCCCTTATTTTTTACATCACAACGTTGACAGATTGCTAACTAACTTCAAAACTAGATTAAAGACCTATCTGTTTAGTAAAGCATACACTCAATGCATCACCTAGCGGGTTCCACACTGGCTTCTACATCTTGCTTATATACACTATGAACAGCAGCTACGCTAATTATTCTCTTTATTCTCTATTTTCACCTGGGGATACTCATCCCGAGGTCCTCAGATTATGCGGAGTCACTGATTGGATTCAAGACCAGCGACGTGATGATCCCAAGGATTCCATATCCGGGACCAGGCCATATCCTGAGCTGCTGCTGCGCTGATGGTCGTGGGGAGTGGAGAACATGAGTCTGATTCCAGCAACGCTCCAGGGACAGACAAGTCTTCACTGAGGCCATCTTCCAGCCTAAACCACGACGAATGAAGTTCTGCACAAGACTTTTGGCCAGCGGAGAAATTAAAATGGTCGTGCCCAACTGAGTCTGGTTCTCTCAAGGTTTTTTTCTTCACTCCCATCAGGTGAAGTTTTTTCCCTCTCCGCTGTCGCCACTGCCTCGCATGGTTCAGGATTGGTAGAGCTACGCATCGATGAATTGGCTCTTCAGTGTTTGAACTCTCAGTAATGATTAAATCACACTGAACTGAGCTAAACTGAACTGAACTGAACTTAAACACTAAAACCTGAACCACACTGTTCCAGTTACTGAACCACACTGTTCCAGTTACTATGACCATTTATGTGAAGCTGCTTTGACACAATCTACATTGTAAAAGCGCTATACAAATAAAGCTGAATTGAATTGAATTGCTAATCAATAAATAGCTATAGTGCTATCTGTTAGTTTTAACGTCAGCTAATGTCATGGAAGGGCATAGACGTTATGGAAAACAGTAATAGTAATGTAATAGTAATAGTAACCCTCATCATTCCTTCCTCAAGCAAATGTGTAAATATTAGATATATTCAGCATTAATGTTAATTGCATTGGCATATTTATCTGACGTTTTCCCAGCTTGTAGTAGTCGATCAAAAAGCTGTTTAGATTCTTATGACTATACACTAGCAGTGGAAATTACTGCGATGTGACGGGGCTTGATCATAATCCAGGGGCTTGATCAAAGGTTGATCATATTCTCTTCTGAAAAAAAAAAGAATATCTTTTTCAACAAAAAAATGATCAGAGTTACAGCCAGCATCCCACAAAAAGCACTTCCAGCCTCATTTTGTGCATATCAAATCGCAAAATCCAAAAAGCCGCACACCATATATTTTTGACTGCTTTGAATGGATAAATTTTTTTTAACCTATTTTTCCATAGTAAAATATTATGGTGGGTCTTGAGATTGAATTACTTGCCTAGGTGGGTCCCGGAATAAAAAAGTTTGGGAATCCCTTGCCTAGAGCATCAGTTCAGCTTGCTCCGGCCCTGTGTAGAAATGATAAATGCCGACTTCAGACTACATAACTTTAGCCCTGATTTTGATTCGCCGACAGGTTTTGAGAAATCACAGTTAAATCACAATAGCAATCAAACAGTGTGAACTATCAAAGACAACATCAGACAGAATCGCTGATGAGTCGCCGAGATATTTAGCATGCAAAATAAACAACTTCATAAATTTGTGTTGGGACAACATGAAGGGATTGTCTGGAACCCAGCATTTTTTTTGCAGAGTAAAGGGATGCTGTGTCTAAATTCTTTGCCTGCTTCAGGTTCTTTTGGTTTATTGTGTGCTTGAGTGGCAGCACGGTAGCTCAGTGGTTAGCACTGTGGCAAGAAGGTCACCAGTTCGGGTCCCAGCTGGGCCAGTTGGCATTTCTGTGTGAAGCTTGCATGTGGGTTTCCTCCTGGTGCTCCGGTTTCCCCAACAGTCCAAACTCATGCACTATAGGGGAACTGATGAACTAAATTGGCTGTAGCGTATGAGAGTGTGTGTGAATGTGAGAGCGTACGGGTGTTTTCCAGTACTGGGTTGTGGCTTGAAGGGCATCCTCTGCATAAAACACATGCTGGAATAGCTGGCGGTTCTGCTGTGGCGTCCCCTGATGAATAAGGCACTAAGCCGAAGGAAAATGAATGAATGAATGTGTGCATGAGTTATGACTGCTGGATGCTGGGCAGCTTCTGTTTTATGTGCTGGCTTTGAAAAGCAATGAAGAAAAGCCAACCCACTGGGATCTGCAGCCACTTTTTCTGCCTATTGTTAAAACGCAGCCCACTGCCAAACGCACAACTACATAAACAACCCAACAGATGCGAATCATAACCAGGCTAATTATAGAGATGCTGTTCGGCTGAAGCATAGTTAACTGTACCTAATACAGTCATTAAATGAAGAGTGAAATGCTCTGATGAGTTTGCTGCAATCACCATTAAACCCTGAAGCAGTAAACATTTATAAATGATCTCCCAACAGTGTAGATATGAACGAAGGGTTGTCGATGTTCTTAAAGGGATAGTTCACCCAAAAAATGATTTTCTTACTTAGACTTTTTGTCTTGTTTCGAGTCCAAATATCTCCCAATTCTAAAATCAAGAAGCATTTTCTAGACAAGTCTTATTTTAAGGAATAATATGCTAAAATGAATTGAATTTGGTGACGCGGTGCATGTTTTCATTGTAGTTTATGCACATTTTTACTTATCGAATAAAAAGTTTATCCTACTTAGTAGGCGACACAGTGGCGCAGTGGGTAGCACGTTCGCCTCACAGCAAGAAGGTCGCTGGTGGTTCATTCCGCTGTGGCGACCCCAGATTAATAAAGGGACTAAGCCGACAAGAAAATGAATGAATCCTACTCAGTTATTCACATACTTTTTTTTAAAATAAGCATTTTCAACATTTATACTAATCTTGGTGTTTTCATCAAGAATTTTTATCCGATAATAAAAAAAATTTGCATTACAATAAGTGGATGGCAACATGGCTAATGGCTAGGCCCACACAGAATCTGCGCGCGCAGAAATCCGCAGATTTTGAGCCCACAATTCAGTCTATTTATTTTCTTGTTTGTAAATGTGTGTACATTTATATTCATTCAATTGTATATTTATTTAAAATAATTTCACTAATATTATAATGATATAATAATAGTAATATTTTAGTGGATATATTATTCGAAAGACTTGATTTGTTTACCAAATAAGTGGATCTAATTGAATTTGCATTGTAAACTTAAATGCATTTTTATTTATTTTATTGATATAAAATATTATTTTTATTCAAAATGTTTTAGTTGTGATTCTCCTAAAATCATTCATCATTTTTACAAAATTCTCCGCCGAAATAGCAAAAAAATGTCTGCAGATTGTGTCTGGCACGACTAATGGCTGAGTGAGTTAATATTGAAAACTGGACAGTGTATTGTTTTGATGAAGTATCTGAAACCCACCGCTGATCGTCCTCCAGCCGTGCTATGATTCGCTCCAGCTCTCCTCGCTCCTCCCTCTCCACTGCCTGCAGAATCTGGGCGGGGCTCTGGAGCAGGTAGGAGGGGCTGTGGGTGTTGTGGGCGGGGGTCCTGTTGATATGGGCGGGGCTTTGTGGCTGGCTGAAAGATGAGCCCTCCCCTCCCAATGTCTGGCAGTACTGCAGGATCAAAGCGTGCTCCTCGTCCCTGCAGAACAAACATTCAGTGGTTAACACTACTGTAATCACATTAAACTGGTATACACTGACTTGACTAATTAACCTTAACCTGATTAACCTAGCTAAGCCTTTAAAAGTCACTTTAAGCTGTATAGAAGTGTCTTGAAGAATATCTAGTCTAATATTATTTACTGTCATCATGACAAAGAGAAAATAAATCAGTTATTAGAGATGAATTATTATGAACTATTATGTGCAGAAATGTGCTGAGCAAATCTCTCTGTTAAACAGAAATTGGGTAAATAAAATATATAGGAGGGCTAATAATTCTGACTTCAACTGTGATATTTTGCATTAGGAAACTAAAGAGATCCCAAACGCTAAACATGAGCAATTGTCACAGCGAGACTCTGGATCTGGTGGTGTCGCAGCAGGTAAACCCCAGCAGACAGAAGCGTAATTGAGGCGCTTCTCTCTGAAAATCTGACAGGTGAAAGTGAAGCAGAGAATAGGAGACGAGGGTTTGGATGTGTGCTGTCCAAACAGCTGTGAGGCTCAGGTGTGTGTTCACTCCAGCAAACACACCAACACAACATACACACACACACACACACACACACACACACACACACACACACACACACACACACACACACACACACACACACACACACACACTAATCAGAGAGATTACATGGGCACTGCATCACGGAGCTCTGCTAACAGCCTGCCAACACCAGCAGATGCTGAATAAAGCAAGCAAACACACACACACACACACATGCATGTTTGCACTGAAACTTTACGAACACATTAGTATTTAAAATGAAGGGCTCTATTTTGACGGTCCATGCGCAGAGTGCAAAATGCAGGGCGCAAACGCTTTCAGGGCGTGTCAGAACGCATTTTTGCTAATTTAAGGACGGGAAAATCCGCTTTGCGCCGTGTTGCATGGTCTAAAAGGGTTGAGTTTATTTTCTTAATGAGTTATAGGTGTGTTTTGAGACTAAACCAATCAGAGTCTCATCTCCCATTCCCTTTAAGAGCCAGCTGCGTCACGCCAAGAGCGCATTCGCTATTTACAGGACGTAAAGTAAGACTAAGTGGAAAAAATGAGCATTTCACAAACAAACAGTTAACAGTTTTTTTTTTTTACAGAAAAACAGTTAAACAGCATCTACTGCGTGAGAATGAGAGATAATGGATCTACTTTCACTTTCGCTCTTGGATAGGGAAACCTTTACGCACAGACATCAATTAGCCTATAAATAAATACTTTTGTTTGTTAAGCGCAAATATTCGTTTCAAAACTATTTCTAAATTCAGTTCTAATTTCCAGCAAACGAATAAATAAACAATAATAACAAAATGAGCTCAAAAACCTGAGTTATATCCTAAAACACCTGCTGTGCCCCATATGGTCTAAAACCTGACAGGTGGTCAAATCTAAGCTTGTTTTTAATAAAACAAATATAAATATGGATATAATAAATAATACTGCTAATAATAATAACATTATACAAAAGCAAATTGTTATGAATGAACTGAAAAAGCCTCACGAGATGAAGAAGTCATATAAGCAGTGGTTTTTCATATTTATGTAGGCTAGAAAATAATATGTTTTGTAATATTTTAATCCTTTATATTTATATTCTATATCTATTCTTATTATATCCTATATATATCCTTAATATTTTAATGTTTTCATATGTAAAGATATTTGCCTATTGCTCTCTTGTGTGTATTAAGCAGTGTGTAAGCGAGGCGCAACTCTGCGCTGGAGTTTAGACCGGGTTTGTTTTGGTCTAATCAAAAATCTATTATAGTTTCTCAAAATAGCAACGCGCCAGCGGTCCGCCTCAGAACACCTTCCTTTTTAGACCAGAACACCTATGGGCGCACATATGAGCAATAATGCATTTGCTATTTAAACAGCGCAGCGCAACGCCTCAAAACCACTCTTGCGCCAAGCTGAAACTCCCAAAAGACTATTGCGCCACGCCTTGCGCCACACTGCGCCGGGTGTATGATAGGGCCCTTTAAGTGTAAATTCGTAACCCCAAAATGGCTCAGAAAAGTCCAACTATTTCCAAGAAAAGATGATATGGTTTTGAAATGCATCCATTAAAGGGACAGCTCACCTGAAAATGAACATTCAGTCATCATTTAATCATCCTTTACATGTTCCAAACCTTTACGACGTTCTCTCTTCAGTGCCTACTTTTTTAAATGCCCGAAGTCTCTCTGTCATCGTCTCTAAATCTGATGTGTTTTGTGTGGCTTCTCCAGAATCTGCAGACGTGCTCGTGTTTTTTGCGTCCCCGGTGCAAGTGTGTGTGTTTGTGTGTGTGCGTCTGCATGCTGTTGAACAGAGGGACAGTGATGCAGGTGTGTGTGTGTGTGTGTGTTGAGATGAAGCAGCGGCCACAGACAGACAGAGATGAGTGCTGTTGTCATGTCTGTCTCTCCTCAGCATCCGTCAAGTGTCTGAATCCCGCAGGGGAAACTCCCCTGACGACTTCTTCAGTTCTCTCACACACACACACAAACGCACACGCACACACACACAGCACAGATCCACTCTTCTGGTCATATCTCTGCCAGTTTACACTTCACCTGCTCCCTGAAGCCTGTGTTTACATTCATCTCAAAGACAAAGAGACTCCAGTCAATCACTATGAGTGCAATCACTGACCCGCGAATTGCAGATGGACTTTCGTTAATTCATCTTTTCAAAAGTCGGCAAAAGTACACACAACGTCAATTAACTTGAGAAAAAAGCGATTGATTAAAAATAAAATAAAGATGGACTTAATGTCTTCCACATCGGTGAGCAGCAGCGGTGGATCTAGAAGACAAGACAAAGTCCACAGACGAACTGTAGATGCCGGTTGGATGTCTGGATAGGGTAGTTAGGCTGTTGCTAGGCAGATGCTTGGGGGTTCTGAGGGGTTGCTAGGCAGTTGCTAACATAAACTAGCATGGTTCTGGTTTGAATTAGGCAGGACACGCATCGCAAGCTATTATTTACAGTAATTAATAATAATAATTTTAATTTCCTACATTTATAAAGCGCTTTTCTGGAAACTCAAAGTGCTTTACACATTTTTAGGGGGAATCTCCTCATCCACCACCAGTGTGCAGCACCACCTGGATGACATCATGGCAGTCATATTGCTCTGGGCCGCACACCAGCTGATTGGTGGAGAGGAGACAGAGTGATGAAGCCAATTATGATATGGGGAGGGTTAGGAGGCCATGATGGACAGAGGCCAGGGGGGTAGATTTGGCCAGGATGCCTGGGATTTTTAACAACCACAAAGAGCCAGGGCCTCGGTTTAACATCTCGTCCAAAAGACGGCGCTCACTGAGCAGTATAGAGTCCCCCGTCGATATACTGGGGCATTAGGACCCACACAGACCGGAGGTTGAGCGCCCCCTGCTGGCCTCACTAACACCACTTCCGGCAGCCACCTAGCTTTCCCATGTGGTCTCCCATCCTGGCATTGACCGGGCGCAGCCCTGCTTAGCTTCAGTGGGCGACCATGTGAGAGTTGCAGAGAGCTAGCTGCAGGCAGCATGGTGGAACCATTTCTGAGCTCATCTATCATTTCAGGTTTTCAGATGCAAAGACACATTCTGTGTATATGGCTGCTCAGTTGTTGCACTGCTATGGTCTGTTTTTGGATAACTCCAGTGTGCGCACATTTGCACTGACTGTATTCACCATCAGAGTGCATGAACTGAACGTTGAGCCCTGTATTGTGATGGTTTGAGATGAATACATGCACCGTTACACACCAAACAGATACTATACTGAGGAGATGATGCCAAGCATAGAGGACTTCTAGAGGTCTCCATAATCCTAGACCGGGCTGTATCCTGAGCAGATGCTGTGGTGGTCATGGAGGAGTGGACAGCATGAGACTGATTCCTGAAAGACCCCAGTAACAGACGAGTCTTCGTATTGATCTCGTGGGCCAGCCTGAACACCCGCTGGTGATGTAGTCACACCTGCAGCTTCTCCATGATGGACATCCAACGTTCTTCAGTCTCGACATCTAGACTGCAGCTCTGCACAGAAAGTTTGGCCAGAGGGGAAATGGTCGTGCCTAATTGAGCCTGGTTTTTCTCAAGGTTTTTTCTTCACTTCGGTCAATTGGTGAAGATTGTTCCTCGCCACTGTCGCCTTTGGCTTGCTTGATTTGGGACTTGTGGAGCTGCGCAAATCTCGATGGATTTGCTCTTCAGTGTTTGAACTTTCAGAAGTGAATATTAAACCACACTGACCTGAACTAAACTGAACTTCAACTCTGAACACTGGACTTACACGGTTTCAATTCACTAGAACTTTTATGTTAAGCTGATTTGACACAATCTACGTTGTCTACGTTTCTGCGGACCGCGATTTACGTCCCGGGAGGTACGTATTCGAGCGTTTTTTGTTTTCGCGGATCCACGAGAGGCCGATGTGCGCGCTTTTTTGCGTCTCGGGGGCCTTTCGGGAGCGTGCGGCGTTCGCGCCTGCGCCGTTCTCGCGCGAAAAGCCGCCGGATTGGCCGACTCAGCCGCTCTCCTCTTCTTCCTCCTCCTTCCCTAAACCCGAGCGACGGTTCGCAAAAGCCGTCCAGAAAAAAAAAAAAAAATAAAAAAGCAAAAGCCCTCGTCTACGATTTCGACCGCGTTTTCGGATCCCGCCGCATTCTCGCCCTTATTTTTCGGATTCCGTTTTTCGTCTTACCTGATTTCCGGAACCGCTGTTCCCCGGACTCGATCCCGGTCGATCTCCTCCTCCTCCGGGGCCTCCGCTCCGCCGATGCAACGCTGTGAGCTAAGCGAACAAACTGGTTGCATCGGGAAAGCCCTCCACTCGGAGGCGAGCCGTCGGCGGGCGAGTTCGAAGAGGAGGGGAGGAGCGGCACCACACCGCCCCGCAGCGTTCGCTCGAAAAAAACTAAACGCGGCCTTACGTACCTCCGGCCACGTAAATTGCAGTCTCCAGAAACGTCCGCGGGGCTACGTTTCCAG